TACACCATCTTCTTCCAGCAATCCCAGCTCACATTGTAGTACGTACTTTATTTTGGATAGGAAATAAAGTTCTTCAGAGGACCTTTACTAGGAATCACGCAACTCTTAACACCTCACAGGAAATAGCCCACCTGTGTAACCCCACATCGACATCCTCCAACGACATTGTCCTAATTACAGCCATCACAAATTTAGTTAATCCTCCTGAGCCCACGCTCGCCTCCTAGTCGAAAGCGCCTGTTCATTCCCGTCAATATCAAATGAAGTCCAGCGATGCGTCCAAAACTCGAAGTCATATTACATCCCAAGCAAACTCTTTCTGTTATATTCAAACTTCCGAATCACAAAGCCACCATCTCAAACGAAATACACAAACTTAGTTCCTTGTTCACCATGACCATAATCACGCCAAGCTTTCTGGAAGCATGTGTCCATCCTACCACGAAATCCATACGATACGCTAACATTCCCACTCTGAGTTAACCACCTTCTGAAGCGAACTACTCGACTTCTAGCAATTCGACCTCCGTGCGACACCTCCCACCATGTCCTTCCTCATCCTTCGCTGCCAAAATACTGCCTCAAATCATAATCCACCTCTGTAGCACCCGAAATAATAGATTGCTACCAATTCTAATCCTCATCAAAGATCAACTCTCTCGAGCCATCAACATTAGAAATACCGGTTCGACCCGGAAACCATTACACACCGCCATCCCTGATGGCCGCTTCTAAGGTACCATTTCGCAACACTCTACCCCGTAGGAAAACCAAAGAAGACCATCACCCTGACGAACCATAATGTGCTCCAACAGGGACGACGACACCACACCACAATGAGAGTTCCACCACATTCGAAAAGATCAAGTCTCGCCATGTTCCACACCACTCATAAATAGGAACCCTACCATTCACACCAACACTGCGTGATAATAATGCATGAACCTCATTATATACTGTGCACAACCTCGAAACCATAGGCAACACTAGCACGGTGCTGAAACAACAGAGCACGCTCCCACAAGACGATGATAATAGCCCGCTCAAATACGCATGGAGAAACATCCAGCACCACATCTACAGTACCACTACAACATCTCAATGCCCAATTGATAACAAGCCCTCAACATCGTATAACAATGAGTAGGAAGGAAATGAAGGCTTAAGCTTCAACGAAATCAAATCGCATGACAAGGAATAAAAAAAAAGTGCTCCTAACAGCCTTGTAGCCTCTCGAAGATAAGCATAGACATCTCCGTACTGATCTGCAAGACTCTACTAGACTTGCTCATGACTCGTGAGACCTCAAGTGAACCTAGAGCTCTGATACCAAGCAGTCATGACCCAAAACCCACTATAGATTGTGATGGCGACCAATGTCATCGTTAGGCGAGCCAACAGTGAACTACCAACTTAATTATTTATTTTATTATTTTTGAAATCATGAATCTTATTAGATAGAGAAATTAGTGCTATAAAAATCATAGATACATACATTCTAGATAAAATATAGAGTAAAGGTGTGTCAATATTAAGTAAAACCATAAATAAATTCTAGAACATCCCAAAACCCGGTATCACAGGTGCATGTCATAATAACACATCATCTGTCTGGAATAAAAAATAGACAGGATAAAGTAAATAAATAAGACGGAGACTCTGTGGGTTGTGACACATAGCATGGAATGCATCTCACCATAAAGTCCCCTCAGCAGTTACGCCTACGCGCCACGATGACCATAAAATTAACCTGTCTCAGTACTTGCACATTTAGTGCAGAAGTGTAGCATGAGTACGTAAATCAACACTTACCCAGTAAGTATCTAGCCTAATCCCGGAGAAGTAGTGACGAGGGGTCAACATCGACACTTACTAGTGGTCCAATAAATAATATGCATGAACCATAAGCAGGCATGAAATACAACAGAATCAATAGAATAAGAAACAGTAATCAACGTGAACCTTTAACGAAATATCATTTTAACATTTCCATATAGTACATGCCATCTCAACAAATAACAATCGTAAAATAAACATTCAATCTCCGGTCACAAAGGGATATCGTGTAATTTCCAAGTCCCAATCAAGAGGGTAATCTCTTGGGTATTCGGACTCCTAGCGATTTTATGCACGAATTATGCTGACGTCATTCGGCCCGATCTATATAGTCGTGTACATACAATGCCGATGTCGTACGGTCCAATCCATGGAATGGAAGCATCTCATATATACATATACTACCGAGGCGTTTGGTCCGATCCCAAGGAAGAGAAGAAACTTATCAACTTACGAGTTACGTGTTTGCAATATAAAAACGGGAACGTAAAGTAATCATGACTTTTACCAATTTTCGAATATCTTGTCAACAACTCAAGATAACGAGATTTGATCTAACATGATATCTAATCACATTTCATATTATGAGTCTTAGGTAATTAAAATAACAAGTTGAATTCAGATAATACAAATATCACATGATAAAGTTCTAAGTCTACCCGGACATAACATGATATTAGCTACGTACAGACTCTCGGCACTTCGTGTGTACGTGGCCTCCACAACATGTAACACATAGCAAATACACACCTACGGGGTTAGACGGGAGACTTACCTCGCTTCGAAGTTCCACAACCGGCTCCAACGCCCATCTAACACCTCAACCAATGCCACCCATCGATCCGAACAACGAGCAAATCAATCAAAATATACTCCAATGCTTATAATTTAATAATTTATAACAATCCTCAACTTCGCTCGAAAAGTCAACAAAGTCAACCCCCGGGCCCACGTGCTCGGATTCTTAAAATTTTCGAAGATAAACATTACCCACAACACTACGAACTCAAATATATAAATTATTCCCGATTCCATGTCCAATTTCGTGGTCAAAATCCAAAAATACCAAATTCTAGGTTTTCTCCTGAAATCCTATAATTTCCATAAATTTTCATGTTTAAATCCACATATAAACCATGTATTTGACTCACAAGGTGAAGAAATCCTTACCTCAAGTTTGATGATGAAAATAGAGCTCCAAAATCTCTCTAAAGTCGACTCCCATGGAAGAAATGAGGTGAAAATGAGCCAAATCCCTGATTTTTTAAGAAGTGTTCTGCCCAACGACCCTTCTTCGCGATCGCGGAAAACTCCTCGCGATCCCGAAGGCCAACCTGCCTCGCCCATGAAATTACTCTTACGCGAGCGCGAGGACCTTCTCACGATCACGAATCACAGCCTGCCCAGGCCTCCGCTAACACGAGCCATTAACGCGAATGCGAAGGCCAAACTAGCCTCAGCAAAATTCCTCCCCTGCGAACCCCCAAACAGGCCAGCCTCAATAACCTATCGTGTTCGTGACCTGTCCCACGCAAAGAACAACCTGCTCCAGCTCCGCGATCGCGGCTACCTTTACGCGATCACGATGAACCAAAAAGCCACCAGTCCAGTTAGCCTTTTGCGATCGCGACCATCCTTTCGCGATCGCGATGCACACCCAACACACCAGAAACCAGCAGTGATAAAACAAGGGGAATTTGTCCGGAACCATTCCGAAATCCACCCGAGGCAGCTGGATCCCGTGCAATCATACAAACAAGTCCTAATACCTTATCCAAACTTATTCATAAGCTCGAAACGTCACGAATAACATCGAAATCACGAATCGGCGATCAAAATCCATCTTTCAACTTTCAAACATTCAAACTTCGACGAACGCGTCCGAATTACACTTAAACATTCCGGAATGACGCCAAACTTTACGTGCAAGTCACAAATCACGATACAAACCTATTCCAAAGCTCGGAACCCGAAACGGACATCGATAACACTAAAGTCCCCTTCAAACCAAACTTAGGAAATTCTATAGCCTTCAAAATGCCAACTTTCCACAATAAGCGCCGAAATGATCTCAGGCCACCTGATACTCAACCCGAACATACGCCAAAGTCCGAAATCGCCATACGAACCTATTGGAATCTTAAAATCCCGATTCCGAGGTCGTTTACTCAAAAGTCAAACCTCGATCAACTCTTCCAACTTAAAGCCTCTGAATTGAGTATTTTGCATCTGAATCAACTCCGAACTTCCTAAAATTCAACTCCGACTACGCGCACAAGTCATAAACATTACGTAAAACTACTCAATGCCTCAAAACGTCGAACGACGCACCAGAGCTCGAAACAACTGGTCGAGTCGTTACAAAAAATTCACAAGATCTATTAAAAAATTATATCTGAGAATAACCTGCAAGGGAATTACTAGACTTTGAGGTCAAAAAACTATTGATTGTATTTTACTCTCTCCGTTCCAGTTTATATGAACCTATTTCCTTTTTAGTCTGTTCCAAAAAGAATGACCTCTTTCTAAATTTTAAACAATTTAGCTTAAACTTCCAATTGTACCCTTAATGAAAAGCTTTTATAACCACACAAATACTCTGGGGCCCATTTTGACTTGTTTAGGACTACAAATTCTAAAAGTCTTTATTTTTTCTTAAACTCCATACCGACTCAAACAAGTTCACACAAATTGGAACAGAGGGAGTAGTTACTAGATTTTGGGGTTAAACAATTATTGATTGTTATTTTCCTTGCGTTTACGCTTTAGTTCAATAATTATAGATTGTCATAGTTCTATAAACTGATGCGCAATTTGATTATATTAGACCTAATATCTGCATATGATTCTCTAGCAGATTGAATTGATTGAATTTACGTCTCATGTGAGTGAAAAAAAAGTAACAAACCAAACTGCCAGAATTATGACAAACCAACACACAAAGAAACAAACGACCTGATTTTACGTATGGTTTGATTTGATTTAAGATTTAGTAAAGCAACACAGTTAGTGCGGTGCTTTTAAAGTGAAATTTATATCAAACCATCAATAACCAAAATCCAGTGCCAGGCCGGACCGGCTAAACCATGTTTAGTAAAGCTTAGAAAACTTCGATCTAACAAGAAAGGAGTTCATCATTTCGATAGAAGAAACATTTAACGAAGTGAAAAATACGAAAACCCGTACTGATTGTTGAGATTCACTTGAACCATTATCATCGAAAATAAGATAAATTCGCTGCTTGTCTATTCTGAAAAAAAAAACTTTCACTACAGAACTCAAAAAACTGATACATTGCATCTTCTTTCTTTTTTAAGACTATTGAATATGGTGCATCTTCCAGCAATCCTTGAATGAGGACACTAGGACCAGTTATTTCTAAAGTACATAAAGGATTACATGAGGCAATATGTATTTATGTTATTACAGTTGGTGCAGAACGGCCAGTGAATTCCTGCATCTTTGACAGCTTAATAGCAACCTCGACCTATTACCAGACAGTTGATTCAGGAAAAACCCAAAAAAAAAAGAGGGAAGGGAGAAAACGCCGTTAACTTACCAATGGAGCAAGTGCTTCCTGAGAATCTCTTCCGATCTTAGATGGATCCTTCTCGTACTGCTCGATATACACACGTATGGTAGCGCCTTCTGAGCCAGTTCCAGAGAGACGGAAAACCTTGCACAGCACCAGAAGTTAGTCAGAAATCCTTCAAAGTAATTATCGTACAAAGAGGGAGGGGGAGACGTATTCGGAAGAAAGGAATAAAGGGATTACAAAATGTGTTGCATTTCTTATTTATCTGTTAGATAATTCTTTTATAACACACGAATGGGACCTCCATCTACAATTATTAATATATGACAAATACATTTAACTTTCTAAAGTCTCAAACTTCTCTATGCATAAGAACTGCACAACCTTCATTGATACCAAGTGTTCTCTAAAGTACTTAAGCTATGGGGAGGGTGGGTGATGTCCTACCAATCGTGAGCCATCTTCAAACAGATACCGGATACCCTGATGTTTTGAGATGGAACTATCAACTGGGTCCTTGTACTCGAATTCATCACCATGAACAACATTTGAAACATCTGAATGTATTCCCTTTATTATTCTGTATTACAAAAAGCCGAAGGTTAGAAGAAATATTTAACAATGAAAGCACACACCATCACAACATAACTATGCCTCAAAACAAACTAGTAGGACCAGCTGCATGAATCCTTAATATCTAACAGAAAAAGCAAGTCTCCTCCCAAAATACTCTATAACGAATCCCATATGACCTTAGACCGGTATCCTGTCCGTTTGGACCAGTTTCATCCCAAATGTCACGTCCTTACTCTTAAACTAATCGTACGTGCGGTACTAGACAACTTTCTCACGATCTTGCACAACTCGTGCATGATCTTGCTATGCCAAATCAACCTAAAATATCACACTCAAGATCGCTAAGGGAATGTTACATAAGAAAGACAAGAGAAATTTGCCAAATGAAGCTTTGTATTATAGAGAACTTGATTGTTTTGCTTGAAGAGTTACGAATGAATGCCCCCTATTTATACTAGTCACCTAGGGGCTAGTGTGTAAATAATAATTGTTCCACAAATACTTTCATATTTACAAATAAGTACACCCTCTAGAATTTTCTAGATGACAAGAACATTCCAAGGCTTTCCAAAAGATTCTTCCTACCAAATCCATAAATATCTAGAGTTTTCCCAAGAAAACTCTCCATAGTTCTATTAGTTCTAGAATGTTCCATTAAGTGCCAGTCTCTAACTTATGTAACCCTTACACATGGCAAGTATATGTGGCAAATAGATCCTATGTCGCAAGATAGACATGGTGGGTCATCACACTCGCCCCCACCCAATTGTGTGCCGCCCTCGGTACAAAGCATCAACACATACGCGCACACCTCGCCTTGGCGCCGCCGGAGATCTTTGTCCATTAGCCATGATGCTCTATGGAGCGGTTCGCCTTCCCATGTCACAAGGTACATGTCACCTTTCTTTTTGCCCCGTTTGTACTTTGGACGACTAGCAATGATGGCCTCGATCCTATGCCCATCGGATGCCTCTCCTTGCTCTTGGCCTGAATCTTCCCATGACTCGAACCATTCTAGCAGCTTCTCAAGCATCGGGTCCATGCTTCCACACCCTATTTGGCTGCCCTCCGTGGTCCTAGCCTTGCTAGCAAACTTGACCCCTCTGCTTGGTGAATCGTCTAAGTCCTTTAGCGTGCCATCACTGAAAGTGTTGAAAGAGATGTTGCTTCAATTTAGTAATACAATCCTGATCATTGCCGGCATTAACAATATCGTCAACATAGACCACCAGATAAATACAGAGACTTGAAGCAGAATGCCGATAAAACACAGAGTGATCAGCTTCACAATGAGTCATGCCAAACTACTGGACAACTACGTTGAACTTACCAAACCAGACTCGAGGAGACTGCTTTAGACCATAAAGTGACCACCAAAAGCGATATACAAGGCCACTAGACTCCCCAAGCAACAAAATCAGGTGGTTGCTCCATATAAACTTCATTCTCAAGGTCACCATGAAAAAAAGCATTCTTAATGTCCAGCTAATAGAGAGGCTAATGGCGAACAACAGCCATAAATAGAGCCCAAATATCACTGTAGTCGAGCCCAAATTTCTGAGAATATACTTTGGCAACAAGCTGAGACTTAAGTTGATCAACCTGGCCATCCGGACCAACTTTGACCACATAAACCCAACGATAACCAACAGTAGATTTACGCTGAAGGAAGAGGAACAAGCTCCCAAGTACCACTCGTATGTAAGGCAGACATCTCGTTGATCATAGCATGTCGTCATCCTGGATGAGACAATGCTTCACCTGTAGACTTAGGAATGGAAACAAAGGACAAAGAAGATATAAAAGCATAATGGGCTAATGACAGACGATGATAACTTAAACCGACATAATGGAGATTAGGATTAAGTGTGGTCTGTATACCTCTCTGAAATGAAATCGGTGTACTAGGAAGAGTCAAGTCAGCAGTAGGAGCAGGGTCAGGTGCAGGACGTGAATCGACTGGGTATGATGCTGGGCGTGGACGACGATGATAAGTCGAGAGTGGTGTTCCTGTGGCTGGGGATCTAGGAGAGCAATACTCGACTCCTCAACAGTTGGAATGGGTAAGACTTCTGTGGCTGGCTGAAGGTGAAGGGGGAGCTATAACAAACTCCTCAAAGGTCGGTCTTGACCTCAGATATATCAAGATGGTCAGAAGAGGTAAAGAAAGGTTTAGACTCAAAAAATATGACGTCAGCTAACATAAGATACCTACGAAGATCAGGTGAGTAACAACGATATCCCTTCTGAACACGAGAATCACCAAGGAAGACACACTTGAGAGCACGAGGAGCAACCTTATCTTTCCCGGGGGCTAAGTTAGGAACGTAACATGTGATCCCAAAAACACGAGAGGGAAGAGAGTACAAGGGTAACTGGGGAAACAATATTGGATACGGAATCTTATTCTGGATGGGAGATAAAAGCATCCGATCAATCAAATAACAAGCCGTGAGAACTGCATCGGCCCAAAAACGCAACGGAATACGAGATTCAATCAGAAGTGTGTGAGCAGTCTCAAGGACGTGCCTATTCTTTCTATTTGAAACCCCATTTTGCTAAGGGGTATAAGGACAAGACGTCTGATGAATAATTCCACGAGAGGTTATAAACTGCTGAAACTAAGAGGATAATTATTCTAAGGCATTATCACTGCGAAAACTGTGAATAGAAAAACCAAATTGATTTTTAATTTCAGCACAAAAATTCTGAAATATCGAAAATAACTCAGAACGATCTTTCATTAAGAAAAACCAAGTACATCTTGAATAATCATCAATGAAACTAATAAACTAACGAATCCAAGGTTGAACTGACTCTAGTAGGACCCCATATACAAAAATGAACTAAAGAGAAAACAGACTCTGCATGACTCTCAACACTACGCGGAAAGAAGGCTCGGGTATGTTTCCCAAGCTAACACGACTCACAATCTAATGTAGATAAACTAGACAAACTAGGCACCATCTTTTGAAGCTTGAATAAACTCAGATGTCTTAAACGTCTGTGAATTAGGTCGGGAGGATCTGTAGACATGTTGTGGAGGGATTGAATGAGTTAAGATAGTAAAGGCCTTCTGATTCACGCCCTGTACCAAACGTCTATCCCATACTACGGTCCTACATAATAAAAGAATCATCAATAAAAAAATATACCACTATAGAGGGCACGAGTCAAACGATTAATAGATGCGAGACTAAAAGCACATTCAGGGACATAAAGAACGGAATCTAGAGTGACACAAGATAGTGGATTAGCTTGTCCAGCTCTTTTTCCTTTAGTTTGAAACACATTCGCTAAAGTAACAGTGGGAAAAGACAATGAATACACAATATTTGACAAAAGTGATTTACTACCAGAGATATGATCAGAAGCGCTTGGGTCCATGACCCATGGTCCAAGAGTACTAGACTGGGAAACACAAGCAAAAGAAGTACCAGAAACAGAAATATCAGTCTAAGCAATCGAGGCTACTTGTGGAGATGTCTGCTTACTTGCTCGATACTGAAGGAACTAATTATATTGCCCTTCAGGTAAAGAAAATCCTTGGTTATTTGTAGTCTCGGTCTGAGCAACATAAGCATTTTTGGGTGATCGACCATGTAAAGAATAACACACTTCACAAGTGTGTCCATGTTTATGACAATAAGAACACTTGGGTCTAGATATTCCAAAACGACCTTCTCCTCGTCTATTCTCTATAGTTTGAGATGCCCGATTTTCCACTGTTGGGATGAGAGAATAGATGAGTCAAGGGTCTGTGATGAGATCACTGGGTGACTTGGTGCTGCAGCAAAGGAAAGTAATCGAGAGAATAATTCATCGACGGTAAGGACAGTTGGACTAGCAAAAATCTGGTCACGTACTGAATCAAGATCATTAGGAAGTCCAACGAGTGTAAAAACTAGAAACATCTTTTGTCGTTGCTCTTGTTGCTTTTCAATTCTAGCAGAAACTAGCATCAACTTCTCAAATTGTTCCATGACTGCATGTACTTGTCCCAAGTAAGTAGACACATTCAATTCTTGTTTCTTCAAGCTTGTCATTCCCGATATCACATCATAGAAACGAGATATGTCATTAGTGTATAAAGTACGAGCCTTTTCCAAAACTAAATAACATGCCTGGAATTGACGAACAAAGGCATCAACTTAGAATCAATAGATCACTACAAGATACTACATAACTGAGCATCGATCTTTCCCCACTGTGCTTCGGCCTTTTCATCTCCCTCACTAGCCTTTATGTTTAAATGATCTTGAACACCTTGACCTTTACACCACAACTCCACAGACGAAACCCAAGATAAATAATTTGAACTCCCAAGTAGGGGTTCAGAAGTAATCATCAAGGTTGAATTTCCAACTCCACTATTTTTGGAACCAAAAGAAACAAGTCCGAGAGACATGGTTAGATTGAAGAGAGGGCTAGCAAAATATCAGCAAATAAAAGAAGAGTAAGCCAAAATCTGGATACTCTTGCCAATAAATTCGGAATTTGGAATTTTTTGTCGGAAAATAAGGAAATCATTAGATTTTGGTGAAACTTGGATGGGTAGGCTCGGAAAAGCCTCGCGAACAACCTGTCTCAAAGAAAAAAATTGAAATCTGGCCGAAAAAAGGCCACATACGCCGGTGCGTGGAGTAGATCTCGCCGAAATTACTGACTTCTGATGCGCGCGTGAGGGCCGTGAAGGATCGGTTGCCGGAGATCGTTTCTTGGGTTTGGTCGCGGAAGACTTAGGGATCGTGTGGTGGTGTTGGCTTTCGCACAACACCTACAGAGACTGATCTGACGTAAACCAGCCTAGAAAGTTGCCGGAATTTGATGTACGGCAACTATCCAACTTTTGTTTCTAATGTGTCTCACTCACGCTTTGATACCATGTGAGAAATAATACACCGAAAAATTATATTATTGATATACTTTGACTATGATACAAGTACCCTATTTATAACAATACACAATACCTACACTACTCCTACTCCATATAGGGCTATGCTTATTTACATAACTAACTAACTAACAGCATACATTTAAAATGTCATTTAAGACAATTTTCCTCCTATCATATAGCAAATTATTGCATAAAGGACCACTTCATTTATACTAAACCGATCAAAACAAACGAAAATCCACAAGACACAAAAGCGCAGCTGAAATTTGTTTTGACCTGTTTTGATGAGTTATTTGACAAGTAATATGGTTAATAATAAATGTGCAAGAACAAAGGAAATATGCATAGGTATCAACCTCGAGCAGTGATATATCTTACAACTAGAATTTACCAAATTAGGATGCCACATTCTTCTAATCATAAAAGGAGGCATCCAATGTTATAACATGCTAAGTTGCTTGAACATGGGTGGGGGTGTCCGACACGGATGCGGATCTAGAGGTCGGATCCTTCGAGATGTAAATTCTAAGATTCGGGGACAGATCCTAGTACGGATACGTGTCCGGGAGTTCAGCTAAAAATAATTTAAAAAATATAAAAATACCTTTAAATTATGAGAAATTATGTGGAATATTTACGTATAGCTGGATTTCTTTTTTTATTCTCAAGTTGTAGATAATTAAATGATTGATTTCCTAGATATGGTGCTATTTTCTTCAAATGTACCCGAGTTCTGGTTTTGATTTCCGGAATCAAATTCTATCTCGTCTCGAATTGTTTTGTCTGTCGTGGTCAAAGTACCCAAAATTGTTTGACAAAATCCGCTATGGATCCCACACCCACACCCATACTAGTGTCGTGTCTACAAGGGTACGACACCTAAACTGCCATGTCGGAGCAACTTAGATAACATAATGTTTCTCTAGGTTTCCTTTAAGACATTTAATTATCACAAACAAAACTAACTTTACATGTAGATCAGCTGATACAACGAGGTATTAAATTAAAGAATAAAACCTAGCTCTTTACCATTCACCAAAGGAGCAATGTAAAAGACAGCGGAAAAACCACCAGAGTGTGCCAAGCTCACTAACCAATCAACACATATAAGGAAGTTCAATAAAGAACGCAAAGACCCAGATACCTAAGAAAGGGACCATTAAAGAAGAGACCTCTAAAAGGGAAAGAAAAAACCAGGACAAAACTTAAGAGCAACTTAGATAACATAATGCTTCTCTAGGTTTCCTTTAAGACATTTAACTATCACAAACTAAACTAACTTTACATGTAGATCAGCTGACACAACGAGGTATTAAATTAAAGAATAAAACCTAACTCTTTAGTATTCACCAAAGGAGCAATGTAAAAGACAGCGGAAAAACCACCAGAGTGTGCCAAGCTCACTAACCAATCAACACATATAAGGAAGTTCAATAAAGAACGCAAAGACCCAGATACCTTAGAAAGGGACCATTAAAGAAGAGACCTCTAAAAGGGAAAGAAAAAACCAGGACAAAACTTAACAAAGATGCTTACTTCGCTAGAACCTTTTTCCCAGCTAGAAACAAGAAACTAAGCAACTGTCACACACAGGACCAGAAATTCTTCTTTTGTGGTATATGCACCATGAATTTGAAAGAATCATTCTCTATAAACGCCCATTATGACAAGAGAGATGGAAAATATTTTGAATACACAAAGATTTGATTCCATCACCACAATGAAGAACCAGGTGATTCAGAAGAGGTAAAAGTTGCTGCAAGTTTTAGACTGCAGCCAAATAACAAGGCTTTGGCTTTAAAGAAGATTTCAGACTTTAGACACTATACGAATTCATGAAACACATCCAGAAGATGTCGATTCTGGTGTCTAAGATCCTCTTATTTTCAAATTCACTCTCCTTCTAAAGAAGGCTTTCATTCTCTTGGAAGGAATCATGATAAGAAAGCGACAAGAATTACTGAGTAATGACCTGATTTGCTCTCCTTTCAGCCTACCTAATAGAATTGACATAATTTGGTTCTCCATTCAGCCTATTTACAGGATACATTGTAGAAGTAATAACTGAGTCAGAGAACAATAATAAAAGTTGAAACGGAAACTATTTCACTAGTGGTCTTCATTGTTGTTGTCCGTTCTCTCTCTTGCAGAACCATAGTTCTGAGATGCCATAAGTAACTGCTTAATGCTAAAACATGTCATTGACTTGTAGTACTAATTTAAAACTATGTTGTAATACCATGCAAAGAAGACCTACTAACCAATGCTTACGCTGGTTATACCTGGATTTGCGTCATGCAAGAGATGGTAAACCAAAGCAGAATACCCCAAAAATAAAAGAAATAAAACATGTGAAACATGCGACAAACAGCAAATATCAATGCCGTGTTTGAGAAATGTTTCATCTTCCAGAGAGAAATTGACATAAAAAGAGTAGAGTACTTGTTCACTTCATCGAGGGAGGATTGCAGCTTGACCAAATGAGCCATTAGCTCCTTTGCTCCAGCCGCATCGACATTCTGGAATAAATAATACAAATAGAGTAACAGGAGTCATGATAAACATATACAGAAGAACTCATTTAACGTTGAATAAGAAGCAAGATTCTACAGATACCTCATAATCATATCGAGTGTAATAGTGGCGTCCATAGGTTGCCCAGTGTAGGCGAACTATGTCTTCAACACTCACAAGCTTTTCTCCCCCAAGGTTGTCCTTATTCTTATTGGCAAGAATAGAGAGCCAAGCCAAAACTGCCCATATCCCATCTTTCTCTCGAATATGGTCTGAACCTATGAAGACATAACGAAAGATATTTAAGTACTTTTATGTGTCTGATTAGAATATTATGTAGCTTAGCCCTATCAGTTAAATGTTTGAAACTCAAAAAAGCTAACCAGTTCCAAAACTTTCTTCTCCACAAATTGAACACATTCCAGCATCCATCAAGTTACCAAAAAATTTCCAACCAGTGGGTACCTAAATAAGCAAAACATTTTAAGCATGCAGGTAAAGACAGAAAAAGAGAACACTAAGAACTTCTGCATCCGTCAGTACCCACCCCCCCCACCCCCCACCCCACCCCCAAAACACCAAATCACCCTACCCTAAAACAGAAGAAAGAAAATGAAATGAATGTTATCTCAGTAATATAGTACCTCATAAAATTTCAGGTTCAGACTTTTAGCTACAACATCCAGAGCAGCCGATGTGGGCATACTCCTGCAGAAAGGTTATGATTACATGAAATCAAACCAGATAGTTAATGACTTCCCCAAAAGATAAAACAGTTGTGCTCATATACGATACTTTTGCTAAGCACTATTTACAGCCAAGCAACAGCCACTTTAAAAACATAAATAGAAACAACAACAATAATAAGAAATAAGAAAAGGTTGACTAGCTTGATTATAGGAAACTCATTTTTAAGAGATTTGATTGTTGACAATCTTGATTGTAGAAGATTTGATTCTATTCTGGGTGATTTTATTCTAATTGATTTATATAATAGCTATAATTGATTTCCTTTCCTAAATTAGCCATAGGAACCTCCGTATAAGTATTGCTGCTCATTGGAATGTAAAGATACACAGAAATACAAGAAGCTTCATTTTTCTTCTTGAAATTCTCATGGTATCAGAGTCATTACTATCTTTTTGAGGTGAGTTATCTTTTCGCAGCACTAGGGTTCTGTTTTATCAAAGAGGACGAGTTTTCTCTCTCTTGGTGGCTATCCGCAACACAAACTTCTTCTGAGTTCCGGCGTGGCAACTACTTTTCCAGCAAAATCTATAGCTTTCCGAATTTTTTCGGGAAAAGTTTTCCGGATCTCGGGTCGCAAGCGATTCCGACCCTTCCCATCCAAAGTTCTGGAGATTCCGACCCGACAGAATTTTTCCGGTGCGTTTTTTCGACAAAATCAAGCAGATCCAATCTCTGGAAGGTTATTTCTGTATTTCTGAATAGGCAAAATACATAGTTTACCCATCGATCTTGTACCCAAATCCCTCTTACACACCTGTTCACTACGAGGATAATATTACATGCTCAAACCTTTTAAAAGTGTGTCAATAACACCACTTTAACTACGTGGCACCTGCATGTTCTTCACATAACACGGGCGCGTAATGCTAAGAATTTCATGTCAGAAAGTTTATAAAGAATCCACGTGTCTAATTTTTAAGTTTTTTTTTTTTTTTTACTTTTTACGCCAATTAACAAATTTAAAAAAATAAAAAATAACCCCTCCCACTCTTGTCTTCTTCCCCGTCCCAACCCCCCACCTCGCGTCTTCTTCCTAGTTCCAAACCTCTCAATCTGCATTATATTCTCTAGATGCCCTTACCCCTTCGTCTCCCCTCCCCACCCCCCCAGGTTTCGTCTCCCCTCCCCTTATTTCTTCTTCTTCCCCGATTCAACCTTCTCCTATTCCATTTTCTTTTGGTTTCTCAAGATTCGAAATTTCTCCGAAAATTATTTGGTGGTAGTTATGCCAGTGAGAAGGGCACAATTGCAGAAGAAACTAAGTTTTCAATTTCTTGTTTTGGAATTTTGTTGACAAAGTGGTCTTTGTGGTTCTTTCTATCGTGCCAAATAAAGAACTGAATTTTTTCCTTTTCGTTATTTTCTTCTGGCTCACCATTATTGAGTTTTGTGAAAAAAGAAGAGATAATACCAAAATGAAGGGTTGGTCGGAGATGGGGTTTCAGGCGAAATTCCGGCCAGCGAAGTTTTTTTGGATATGTTATTTGTTGTGTATCTATTTGGTTGTTACAACTAGTATTTTTGTGGTAACTATGGCAGATATTTTCTTTACAAAGAAGAAGGGTTTGCAATGGTTGAGAAGGTGGTGCAGTGGTGGGGAAGGTGGTGCACTGATTGTTGGATTTTTTATTTGAGTGAGTCAGATCTTTAAAAGGGTTGGGTGATTAAAAGAGTCCTTTTAATTTGGAGACGCGCGTGTGATACACAGCATAGACTATTACTTGGACTGGTCAAAAGTGGTGTGTTATTGACACACTTTTAAAAGATTGAGTGTGTAATATTTTCCCCGTGTTGAACACGTGTGTAAGAGGGATTTGGGTACAAGGTCGATGGGTAAATTATGTATTTTGCCTTCTGAATATGCCTATTCGATTTTTTTATCAGTAAAGATTATTACTTGTTCAATGGGTGATACAAAAATAAATAATAATTCTTTGCCTCAAATTAGTGTTGTTAAATTGGATGGGGCTGGTACATATCTTGCTTGGTCAAGATCTTGTCAACTTTTTATTAAGTCTCGAAAGTTGCTTGGTTATATTAATGTAAAAAAACACGTATTGTGACTGACCCAAACTATAGTCAATGAGATTCTAATAATTCCCTTATTATGACATGGCTTTTGAACACTATGCCCCTTAAATCTCTAAGCAATATTTATTGCTTGATACAGCTGCAAAGATCTAGAATTCCGCTTGGCGCACTTACTCTCGCAAGGGAACCAGATCTGTGAGATTTGAAATAAAATCCATGCCACTAACCAAGGTAAGTTCACTATCACTAATTATTATTTCAAGTTAAGTGGGTTATGGCAGGAGATTGACTACTATCAGAACCTCCAAGCAAAGTGTATAGATGATGCAATTATCTTTCAGTAATTGGTTGAAAAGGAAAGAGTATAATTTTCTGGCTGGTTTGAACCAAGAATATGATCAAATTAGGGTTCAAGTTCTCAGTAAAGTTCATTTTCCTTCTCTTGAGGATACATACTCTAATGTTTAACAAGAAAAGAGCCGATGAGGGGCCATGCTTTATTCAGCACCAATGGAGAAATCCGGGTTAACTGTGTCTCATGAGCAACCAAGGGCAATCACTTATGATAAAGATCACATGCATTGTGATTATAGTGGAAAGCCAAGGCACACAAAAGAGGCATGGAAACTACATGGTAGACCAACTAGAGGTCTTGGAGGAAAGCGTGCAAGTCCATCAGAGTCATGCTAATATTGCAGAAAATGTGGAAACATCCAGAGATGCAGGAGAACCTGTCTACGGACGAAGTTCAACATCTTCGCCGTCTCCTGAAAAAACTTGACCATTATAATGTTGCCAGTTCCAATTATTGCCTTTAATGCTCACCCTAATTCTTGGATTATTGATTCTGGTGAGAATAGACACATGACAAGCTCTTAAAGGCTTTCAAAATTACTCTCCTAGTTTCGAAGGGAATTATGTCAAAATAGACAATGGCTCCCTAACTCATGTCTCTGGAATAGGTTATGTTGTCTGTACTCCTGATATTATATTATCATCCGTTCTCCATGTATCTGAGTTTCTTATTAACCTGCTATTTGTCAGTGCCATGACCAAAAAACTAAACTGTAACATTGAGTTCTTCCCTGATCGTTGTGTTTTTTCAGGATCTTCCAACAAGGAAGATAATTAGCAGTGGTAGATTGCATGATGACTTATATTGGAATGATGGACCTCAAGACTTTGGTCAAGCCTCTTTTGGAGGAAATAAGGATGTCGACCAAAAATTAATACAGTGGCATATACAGTTTGGGTATCCATCATTTTTTGCTTTGAAGAAGTTATATCCTAGTTTGTTTTCTAGAACTGAGTTTGAATTTTTGTTTTGTGATACTTGTGAATTTGCCAAGCATACTAGAAACTCTTATCCTTTGAGTGATAATAAAAATACAACTCATTTTTGGATTATTCATTCTGATGTATGGAGAACTCAAATATCCAGAAGATGAAAGTAGCAGAGATGAGGATGTTGAGGTAGATGTGCAGGCACACTAGGATGGATAAGATTAGGAATGATGATATTCGGGAGAAGGTGGACGTGGCTCCCATTGATAACAAGATGCGGGAAGCGAGCTCAGATGGTTCGGGCACGTTCAGAGGAGAAGCCTAGATGCTCCGGTAAGAAGGTGTGAGCGACTGGCTTTGGAGGGCATGAGAAGAGGTAGAGGGCGGCCTAAGAAGTATTAGGGAGAGGTGATCAAGCAGGACATAGCGAGGCTTCAAATTTTCGAGGACATGGCCCTTGATAGGAAGCTGTGGAGGTCGAGTATTAGGGTTGTAGGTTAGGAGATAGTTGAGTCTTGCCTTAGTTCGTACCTTTGTGGGGCTAGTTTGGTAGGGTTGCAGTTCTCCTTATCACGGGCTCCTGTGGAGCGTCGACGCCTCCCAAGATCATGTGGATAACATGTTGTGGCTCGTTCGTTTCGTTCTTCTTGGCCGCCTCTCTTTCCCGGAACTGATTTTTGGCCCGGTCGCTTAAGAATTCTCTGAGGTGACCTTTATTGAGTAGCCTGGCTACTTCCTTATGAGATAGGGATACAGGTTATGAGACTGATAAGCGCATTAGTCAACATTCGAGGACGAATGTTCCAAAGGGGGGAATGATGTTACACCCCATATTTTCGTACGTAAGAGTACGACATAAGTCAATTAATGTAAGCTCAGAAATGGAATCATCTTTGAAAAGTTTACAAAGTTAGTTCATCATGTTAACGTGGAGGTTACAAATTTTTAAGATCATTAATACCAAGTAGCAAGAGGGTTTGAAGGCTTAGAAGCTAAACGAATTGAAGAAAATAAGTTTCGTCGAAAATCGACAAGTTTGGAATGTTATAACATATTGTTTTGGGGTGAGACTAGGGTGATTAACATGATGAGGAGGTTAATTTATGATTTATTGTAGTCGTATGATAGTCCTGTGTTATGTTTTTAAGTCAAACGAGTTATGGAACAAAAGTTAGCAAAGATCATCACAAGTTGCATTTATAATGTGCTGAAATTTAGGTCAAATGTAGATGCACTTTTCTCCAAATATACTTGGAATCATGGGGTGTTCTACCTACCAAATTTAAGATCTACGAGTCTAGTTTCTAACGCATTAAACCGTTCATCAATACGACATCGGAGTAGAGAGATATTCGCGTTTTCGCGAGACCGCGCAAGCAGCTCCCAATGGGACCCACTTAGGCGGTGGTCGACCTACTTCACTTTATAAACGATTTGGACGCCTATTTTTCACTTATATTAAACTCAACTTCGTCTCCAAACTTCTCCCAACCCTTCTAAACAGATTCCACAAGGGTTTGAAGTGATTCCAAAGTGATTACACCATATTTCAACATCAAAACTTAGTTCTAGTGAAGAACAACACCTCTTTGAGGTTGTGTTGTCATTGAGGATTGTTGTGGGCTGTATTTGGATGAAATTCC